CCGCGGGTGGGCGGTCAGTCGGTCAGCGCGCAGCCGGCCAGCGGTGCCCGCGCAAGCCCGGAGCCCGGCTGGCGGGCGCGGACCCAGGGCGGGAAGATGCCGCGCGTAGTGCCCGACCAGAGAAGCAAGTTCGAGAACGAGGAGTTTTTCAGGAAGCTGAGCCGCGAGTGTGAGGTGAGGCGGACGGGTGGCGCGGAGGCCGCGGCGCGTCCCGAGTGGGCCCTGGCGGAGAAAAGTTTGGGTGGCGCGGTCCCCGCGAAGCCGGGCTGGCGCGCCGCGGAGGGGCAATCTCGCCGGGGCGGCCGCTGCCCGCAGACTCCGCTTGCCCTTATCGGCGCCGCGCGGGGCGGGCGGGCGGCGGCGCGGATTTGCCTGATTTCAGGCCGTCTCTTCCTTGCAGATTAAGTACACGGGCTTCAGGGACCGGCCCCATGAGGAGCGGCAGATGCGCTTCCAGAACGCCTGTCGCGACGGCCGCTCCGAGATCGTAAGTCGCCGGGGCGGACGCGGAGACCGAGGCGCGCGCGGATCACTTGTTGCGCGGGGGCCGCGCGGCCCAGGCGGGTTCCGGACGGCGCCACGGACGCCGTGGCTCCCGGAACTAAGCGGGCGCCGTCTCACTTCCTACTCGGGATTCAAAAGGCGAAAAGCAGAGGCTGGCGTGCAGGTCCTCGCGGGGACACGCTTTTCCTGTGGCCCCGACGCGGTGGCTCGTGTTTCCCAGAGCTGGCTTGGTGGATAGGTTGACCGCCAGTGTGTCTAGAACCCGAGCTAAACAAAGTAAACAAGCGGAGGTCCTGGATGGGCTGTGACACCGATCAGGATTCGGGGTACATACAGGAAGAAAAACATCCATTAAGAAAAATCATTCGAGATCAGAGATAGCTTGTTTCTTTTAATTTTTGTTCTTCTTTTTTGCGTTATTCGGGATTTAACCCACGGCCTTTGCTCCGAGCTACCTCCTCAGCCCTTTTTAATTTTTCGTTTGAGACAAGGTCTGGCTGAGTCTCTAAATTACCCAAGCTGGGCTTGAATTTGTGATCATCCTGCCTCAGCTTCCTAGATATCTGGGATTACAGGCATATGTTATTATGCCCAACAAGGTAGTTTGTTTCTTAGATTTGTTGGTAAATCTTGATATGGAATTATCTCGCTCCCAATATAGCTAAGAATGTATCTTTACTCCAGTTATCGACTGTCCCTACGGGAAGATGCTAAAGGATGTGCAATTCTCTTAGAGTATTATGAAGCCTCAGGAGAATCAAAAAGAAACCATTATTGTTTCTTTTCTAACCTAAATGTATCCCGTTAGTGCAGCAGTTTACCTAAGAACACAATGATTTCCCACAGTTGATCTCCTTGAGGCCTCTATTTTAGGTGATAGATTTGATGCCTCTCTTCCATCACCCTTGGGTTGAAAAAAAATTCATAAGTCTTAGTTCTTCTGTGGACTTTGTACAATTGAAGTGCTAGTGAGGCAATGGTAGCAAGAAACTATAGAAAAGAAACTAATTATTTAAAAAATAGTTAAAGCACTGTGGCATAGAATCCTGTTATCTTCATAGTGATTTGGGTAGAGAATTAAAGCTAAGGTGCTGTTTGAACTGAAGTTGAGTTGGAAAGCACTGGAAAATGTAAACTACTCCTCTTTATAACCAGTTACTTATTGAGATTTAATTTACGTACTAAAATTCTTTTCATCATCAAAATCTTTTTCTTTTTCTTTTTTTTTTTTTATTTTTTGAAATTGGGTCGCATGTATTCCCAACTGGCCTTGAACTCACTGTGTAGCTCAGACAGGCCTCGAACTCGTGACAGTCTTCCTGCCTCAGTCTCCCTAGTGCTGGAATTACGGGCATGCACCTCCACACTCCACTCCAGATTTATTTTTAAGGAATAGTTAATATTTAAAATGAAAGCTTTTTGGAATTATATGACAAAGTGAGATGATACTGGTTAAGTTCATCAGGAGCGCTAGCATATGTGGTCGTTAATGCATGTTATAAAATAAATTCTTTATTTTTCAGCCCACCTCCAAGTTTCTGGGATACTTGTACTAGTTATGTAATTCAAATGTGTAAGACAAGGGTTTTGTTTTGTTTTATCCCTGCATGGCAGAAAAAATAATCAGTGGTCCAGTGATGGTGTTGTCCTTTGGGTTTTCTTTTGCAAAAGGTAAATAGGTGCTGGGCATGGTGACACACCCTTGTAATCCCAGTACAGTGGGAGGCTGACATAGGATGTAGGATTACAAATTCAGATCCAGTCTGGGCATCTTGGTGATGTAGAGAGACCCTATGTCAAATTAAAAAGGGAGAGAGAGATGCAGCTCAGTATGGAGTTCCCTGGGTTCAATCTCCAATTCTGGGGGGAAGAGGAAAAGAAAACAAAAAAAGGTGGGTGATATATCTAATGAAACAATTTCCTGGAAGTAAATGATGTTAAGGGTAAAAGATGATACATAAAGTACTGTCTCTGTCTTTTAAAGCTGAGGTTTTCTGGAAACCCAGTGAAGCATAGCCAGTGGAGTGTTTTCTGTCATATCAGACTTTTTGCATGTAATTACAAATTGGAGATATAATTCAACCCACAGTATCTCTGAGTAGCTGTATTACAGTATTGCTGCAAGAGTACAGCAGCATTATAGGTAGTATAACAGCATTTATAGATTTCTGTGTTTGTCATACGTTTGTTTCCAGGATGAATTAGACATTCTAGCTAGATCTTCTCTTCCAAATATCTGATGACACAGATTTTTGCAGGTTATGTTTAATTTGTTCTCTGGCAAATATGAAAAGTTAAAGGGAGTAGATTGAAAAAAAAAAAGAGTAGATTGAATTCTGTAAGATTTGAAGCATGTGTTCTTTTGTTGAATAATGTTAACTTTTTATTTGGGAAGGAATTTCACATTTCCCTCTCTAGTTTTCTTTTTAGTTCATTGTTACACACATTTATATTACAAATCTGGATGTGGTGACATACACTTACAATCCTGGCACTCAGGAAGCTGAAGCAGGAGGATCACCCCTAGTTCAAGGTCAACCTGAGCTAGGTAAAGAGTTCAAGGCTAGGCTGAACTACACAGTGAAACGGTGTGTCAAAACAAAAACAAAAACCCAACAACAAAAAAATAAGATCTTTAACTGCTAGTGGGTAAAGATGGTATCCTGATATACCACTTTGGATACAGATATTTTACACAATACCTTTCATATCAGAGGTACTTAATTTATTTGAATGTAGAGGTTACATAAATGCCTGAAATTGGTCTTACTACTTACATATGGCATGTGATTTTTACCTGTTGTGGAAAAGACACTATTTTGCTTCTGTTTTGACAGTTGTCTTATACAATAGGAGTATGTATAGTTGTCAAAATTTGCCAGTCCTTCTCGTGACTCAAGTGCTTTTCTTTTTCTTTATTTTGAATACCTCCTTAATGTGGCATTGAGGTTGATAAAAAATTCATTTTATGTTTAGATGTGAAATATAGTAAAGTTTATAACACTAAGACTCCTTTTCACATCATGAAATAGTGATTATAGATGAGAAGTACAGTCTATTTGGTAAAATTTGATTTATTCCTTTTGTGAAATTTTTCTTGTAGTAATAGTATAGGAAATAGCATCAACACAATAATAAAAGAAGAAATACACACGGCGTGGTGACTATGGTGGGAAGAGTAAAACAAACTGTTTTTGTGGTACTGTGGATTGGACCCAGGGTCTTCACACTGAACTACATCCCAAGCCTTTTGTGTTTTGTCTTGTTGTTTTTTTGAGACATAGTCTCACTATGTAGTTCAGGCTGACCTTGAACTCACTATAGCCCAGGCTGGCTTATGACAGCAGTCTTCCTACCTTAGCCTCCCAAGTGCTGGGATTAGTTTGTCCCACCATGCCAGCTCTAATAAGTATTTACTGTTTTTTATTTGTTTGCTTGTTTGTTTATGGTATTTATTTATTTATTTATTTGAGAAGTCCAGGCTAGCCTTGAATTTGTTATGTAGCTTAGGCTGACCTAAAATTCATAGCAGTCCTCTTGCTTCAGCCTCCTGGCTGTTAGAATTACAAGCATGTGCCACCATGCCTACTTTCTGTTATATATTTTTAGTCCTGACAGTGGTAAAAAGTGTATTGGGTTGGCATAAAGTGTGTCATTTTATAAATTATAAGGCCTCTAAATTATAGTTAGGACAACCTGCAAATCTTACATACAAACATTGTATCAGTGTGCCATTTAATGTTTTCAAAAGGACTTTTCACTGATCTTATTTATGTGTAGGCATTATATTAAAAAATAAGTTCCAGGCTGGGATGTAGCTCGGTGGTAGAGTGCTCGCCTACAAGGGCAAGACCCTGGGTTTCACCTGGCACTGCAAAAGAAAAAAAGCTTCATGGTCAAGTGAGTTTGGAAAATACTGTTCTAGCTGGCATGGTGGCACATGCCTGCGATCTCAGCACTCGGGAGGCTGAGGCCGGAGGTCGCTGTGAGTTTGAGGCCACCCTGGGCTACATAATGTATTCAAGGCCAGCCTCAACTATATAGTGAGACCTTGTCTCAAAAAAAAGAAACAAACAAACTGCTGTTCTGGTATGACTAGTTTTTGCCATTTTTTTCTCGCAAGACAGGAATCTTGATGAGATAATGGGTATAAAGTGGTGAAGCAGGAAATCTCTCTTGAGATTGGTATTCGAACAGGAGGTAAGGCAATAAGATCTGCAGAATGCCTTAGTCCAGAGCCGATGGGGGAGCACAATATGAAGAAACATGCCTTGGGGATTTTGACATAGGACATTTGTGTAGGGGCTAAGTCTCTTACTTGCCACCAGTCTGCTCTGAGAATTTCATTATGTAAGACTGAAAATGATGGCTGTCTAATCTCAAAATGATTTCTTTTTTTTCCTTTTCCTTTTTTTTTTTTTTTTTTTTTTTATAATAGCCCTTCTTTCTAGTCTGAGATGGAATCTTAAATTTTTTTTTTTTTTTTTTTGACAGGATTTCGCTGTGCAATTCAGGCTGGCTTGAACTCACTTTGTAGCCCAGCCTGGCTTCAGATTCGCAGCAATCTTCCTGCCCCAGCCTCCCAAGTGCTGAGATTATAGGCATGTGCCACCACACCTGGCCTAAAATGATTTCTTCTAAACCAAAGGTGTGAGGGGCTGGGGATTTAGCTCAGCGGCACAGTGCCTGCCTGGCAAGTGCAAGGTCATGGGTTCGATTGCCGGTACCGGAAATAAATAAATAAATAAACCAAAGGTGTGAGCATGCATGTAGTTCTAACTCCTGAAGAGGCTGAGGCAGGAAGGTTTTCCTTTTTGTTTTTTGAGAAAGGATTTTGCTGTATAGCATAAGCTGGTCTCAAATTTGTGATCCTCCTACCTCAGCCTTTCAAGTGTTGGGATTACAGGCATGCCCTACCATGCCCAGCTAGGAGGATCCTTTGAACCCAAGAGTTGGAGGCTGGCCTGTGGAAGCATATCGAGAACCTCATACTGACAAACAAAAGTTATTTCTTTTGTATCATTCAGCAAATATTTACTTAGGTTTTACTTGGTACTGTTCTGAGGACTTTACAAATACCAGTTTGTTAGGAAACTGAGTTTTCCCTCCCAAAGGCTGTTTTTCATTTGAACTAATGTTAGTGGATAAAACCTATGCAAGTAGTTCGTGGATTCTTTTTTTGCGGGGGGCAGTACTGGGAATCAAACTCATGATCTCGTGCTTCCCAGGCAGGCGCAGTGCCACTGAGCTATATCCCCCACTCTCGCGGATTTTTTTTTTTTAAAGGTTACTGTTGTAATGTTGTTAAGTTTCTATTTGAGAGATGGGTATCCTAATTATTAGAGAAATGCCATCAAAAGAAATGTAGAGATTTAGCAGTTCTTGTGCTAATGGCAATAGAAATAGGAAGTATGGATATTCAGCCTGGACTACAGAATTAAACCCTGCTGCCAAAAAAAAAGGAATAAAATATATAACCTCAGAAGAATAAACTGTTAACCATCAGAGGGATTAGTAGATAGCTATTTCAGCTAGTGGTTTTATTTATGTTTTTTCATTTGTTTTGTGAGAGAGGATCTTACCATGTAGCCCATGCTAGTCTCGAAATCTTGGTTGTCCTCCTCCCTTAGACGCCCAAGTGCTGGTATTACAGACATGTGCGCCTGTGCCTGGCTTAGCCTCAGCTAATAGGTTTTTGTTGTTGTTGTTTGTTTGTTTGGTACCTGGAATCAAACTCAGGACCTTGTGCTTACCAGGCAGGCACTGTGCCCCTGAACTATATCCCCAGCCCATGACAGTTTTAAATAAATTTTTTGTTTTGTTTTGTTTTTTTTCTCCGGAACGGGGAATCGAACGCTCGACCTTGGGCTTGCCAGGCAGGTGCTGTGCCGCTGAGACAGTTTTTTTTTGTTTTTTTGTTTTTTTTTTTTTTTGGTTTTTCTCCGGTACCAGGAACCGAACTCATGACCTTGCACTTGCCAGGCAGGCGCTTTTTGCCACTGAGCTAAATCCCCAGCCCCCAGACAGTTTTAAATAAATTGCCCAAAATATGAATCTCTTGCTTTTAGATGAAGACCTTACACTCCGAAACAAATGATACTTGAAAACTTAATTAGTAAAATAAACCAAACAAAACTTTCTCTGGTTCCAGCAAAAAAGTTTACCTTTTTTTTTTTTTTTTTCTGGCAGTACTGGGGGACTGAACCCAGGGCCTTCGTACTGAGCAACATCCCTGGCCCTTTATTTTTTATTTTGAGACAGTGTCCCATTAAGTTGCTAAGTTGCCCAGGCTGGCTGGAACTTGCAGTCCTCCTCTCCCAGCCTCCCAGAGTGCTGATATTACAGGAGTGTGTGTGCCACCATGCTTGGCTAAGAATTTACATTTAGATGAAAAAATTTTTTTAAAAATATGCTATTTACTTCCTTTCTGTATTTCCCTTGATACAAGGAATAATTTGTGTGTGTGTGTGGGATACTGGAGATTGAACCCAGATATGGTTTTTACTTACTTTCTTCTTTCTGTATTTCCCTTGGTAAGAGTAATGATTTGGTTGTGTGTGTGTCTGTGTGGTACTGGGGTTTGAACCCAAGGCCTCACTGAGCAACATCCCCAGGCTTTTTTTTTTTATTTTTTCTTTTGAGATGGTCTCGCTAGCCTGGGTTTTGCTGGTTTGCTTCAGCCTCCTAGAATGCTGGGATTATAGGCATGTGTCACCATGCCTGGCATTATTTCTGTTTTTCACACTGGTGAAATGGAGTGTTAAGTTGCTCAGGGGCTGCATAGAATATTTTATTGAAATGGTTTTAGATTCTTCTTTTTTAAGCTGTACTACTTGAATCTTTTATAAATATTAGATGAATACTCAATGCTTTTGTTATAGTCACATTCATTTCTTCTACGGTGAAACCGTAGAAAATCTGTACTTTTTTAAAAAGCAGTACTGTCACATCACAGGCCAATGTGTACAGCTTTTCACAGGAGAGACAATCCCTTGTGCAATTTTTTTTAACATGGGCTTTAAAGCATATGCTTAAAAATACTTACGTACTGCATTTTTTATGTGCTACATATCATTCATGATTTCCTTGATAAGAGAAATCAAGAAAAATCCAAATGTCTCATACAAGTTTTATTTGTGGTATGCTTTAAAATTCAAAATCTTTAGACCATCAATGATTTTCACATTTAAAAATGTAAGTTTTTAAAGGACACTGGCTTCTGGTTAGACATTAGCAGTGAGAGATCCTAACATCAGCAAAAAATGACCTGAAAGAAAGTATTGATTCCATGTCTGATTTTATATTTAAGCAGCCAATGGCAAATGTCCTCAAAATGGAATCAGATGTTTGTAACTTAATACTTAAGAAAAATGATGAGTGCATGTTTTTTACTTTTAAGTATTCTTAGTGCTGCCTGGCTTAAGACATAAACTGATGTAAAAATAAATGACTGCCTGCATAATTTATGTAATGTCCTGCTCCTGATCCTGTTTGTATTGATTTTTCTAAAAGGCTTTTGTGGCCACAGGAACCAATCTGTCTCTCCAGTTTTTTCCGGCCAGCTGGCAGGGAGAACAGCGACAAACACCTAGCCGGGAGTATGTCGACTTAGAAAGAGAAGCAGGCAAGGTAGGAAACATTTCTTTGCACCTTAAAGTAATATGAATTGTTTTCTGAGAGGTTATCTGATGATTTACATTTTTAGCTATCGTAAATCGGATTTGACAACAAATGATGAGATTTGTTTTCATTCCATGAAACAAGGATATAATACAGTTTATTTAAACCAAAGTTAAACTTCTATATTATGCCATTACTAATTTCATATATATAATATTCATCATAGAAGGGGCTAGCTAATAAAGTAGTATGCTTTTATTTAAAATTTAATTCCTTTAAAAGTGTTAACAAGAAATTTTTTATGTTTACTAAAAATATGTGTGACTATAATGCTACAAAAATAAAATTAAGTCGGAAAAAGCTCTTGCTTTAAAAATTCATAGTATTTAGAAATAATTTGTAGGTAACTTTCTAATTCTTTTAATATAACAGGTTTAATTTTGGGGAAAACAATTTGAAAATTTTAACTTGGAAATAATTTTAAAAAGTATAAGTATATAAAAGATTTTAAGGATAAGTTTCTGGGAAAACAGTTTTAAGTTGGGTGTTTAGGTTAATGTTAGAAAAAATATTGGTAAAAATATATCATGCTGAGGGCCCTGTTACGTGGTGAAACTTTAATAGATAATATCTTAGATTGGTTGATTCTTAAGTTGAGAAAGGACTTAAAATTTCTAAAGAAAAAAATATTTTTTGCATCCCATTGTACACTGTATTTCCAGTATGTTTCCATATTTGTTTCTGTCAACTTTGCAAGTTACTTTTATGTCATATTAAGTATGTAACCTGTCACTTCATTTGTAAAATGTAAGAAATGTCTAAATATTAATTAAAAGACTTGTATTAGGCTATATTAAGGAAAGGATTTCTAATCTTGCATCTATACAATGAAGAATTTCTTGTTTAGTTTTATGAAATTGGGTTTGATCTTTTGTAACAAACTAACATTTGGATTGGGAAAAGGAAAATAAATTATAGTATTTAAAAAATAAGTAATAAGCAAGTAATTTGTTTTCCTGTGTGTTAGCTTACTTTATTGGAAATTAAAAGCAAATTTACCGATTTTTACTACTTGGTAATTCTTTTACATATGAAAAAATTAGGATGTCATTGTAAGATTATTGTCTGGTGCATGTATGTGTGGCTAAATGAAAAACTTATTTTTTTCCTTGTTCAAAACACTTCCTTAGAAGTAGATGCAGTGGCTCATGCCTATAGTCCTAGCACCTGTGAGGCTAAGGCAGAAGAATCACTTCAGCGCAGGAGTTAACCAGTCTGGACACCATATCACTCTGTAAAGCAAAACAAAAAGCATTCCTTCAAGTTTGTTTAACGTGGGTAGGTAGTTCAGATACTTAAAGGCATAAGCCAAAAATGCTTTGCTTTCCCCTCAGCTTTAATACTAAACTATTTTTAGACTTCAAGATTGACATCTCAATGTTACTAAAGTTTTCCAGTATTTAATAACTGATAAATGGGTGTTAGTATAGCTAGAAGTTATCTTTGCTTGAATTAATGAATGAAATCTGGTCACTAGTTTGAAGACTGCATTCTCCATGTACTTAAGCTAGTGAGATGTTTTCAGCGCTATAACCAACAGTAACAAAAATGTTACATGGTTTATTAACATTGATTTTAGAAGTTTCTTTTTCTTTTCATGCAACAGATAGTGCATGCAACAGATAGTACATAGTCAGATAGTACATAGTTTCAGTTTTGCAGGCTTATGGTTCCTACAATAGCTATTCACCTTTCCATTTGTCTGTAGTGTGTAAGGACCCAGTTTAGTGTGTAAACAAGTAAGAGTGACTATGTTCCAAGAACGGTAACATTTAAGGCAAGAAAAGAGCCAGGCATGGTGGTTCGTACCACTGATTTCAGTACTCTGGGAGGCAGAGGCAGGAAGATCACAAGTTGGAGTTCCACCTGGTCCGTTTATCAGTTTGGCAAGATCCTGACTCAAAAATAGAAAAAAATAGCTAGGGATGTGGCTCAGTACAAAGGCCCTATGTTCAATCTCCAGCACTGGGGGGAAAGAAAAAAAGGAAAAGAAAACAATCTTCCTACTAGTAAATGGTTGCATGCCATTTGGACATAGTACTCCAATTAATTAATCAGTCTGCAAATGACTGTACCCAGGCCTTTATTCTGAACTGCAGCCCCAGTCTGGTTTTTTATTTTTTATTTTGAAATGAAATCTCACTGGGTTGTCTGGTCTGGGCTCAAATTGGGTTCTTCCTGCCTCAGCCTCTTTGAGTACTGGGATTACAGATGTGAGCCTCACCTGGGTTTCCAGTAAATTTAGAGAAAGGTACTGTCCTGCATTTTATCATCTATGCAGCTCAGGGGTCTTTACTTCTCTTTCTTTCCTTCGTATGATGTCTTTTTATAGCTGTTAGATTTTGTTTGTCTCCATAGGACTAGGACTATAAGCAAAGAAAAGTGAAAGAACTTCCCCAAATGTTAATTATTTTTCTCTGCTTCTTATATTGGATCCCAAATGACTGCCATCTTCCCTGTTCTCTCAAGTTAGCTACCTATGAAATCATGGTGATCCTTGTAATTGTGGGGTTTTTTGTTTGTTTGTTTGGTTGGTTGGTTTTTTTTTTTGAGACAGGGTCTCGCTACACCGTTCAGGCTGGCCTTGGGCTCACTTTGTAGCCCAGGCTGGTCTCGAACTTGCAACGATCCTCCTGCCTCAGCCTCCTGAGTGCTGGGATTACAGGCGTGCGCCACCATGCCCGGCTTGTAATTGTGGTTTTAAATAGGATGGTTATGGGTAAGGAAGTTTGCCCATAAGCAGAGACCTGAAGGAAGCTTAGAAATGATGCAAGTGTCTGGGGTGAAAGATGTTCCAGTTAGCGGAAACAGCCATAGGAAAAGGCCCAGGAGCAACCACTATATATTTGATATACAGCAAGTTGGACATGTGACTAGTTAGGCTGAAAAAGAGAAAGAGTAAAAGTGAGATCAGGGATAATAAGGATACTGTTTGAGTGACTGTGGTAGGCCCTTGTAATGATATGAACTTCTGTTCTGAGTGAAAAGGGGAGGGTGTTTAGGCAGGTGGATGTGTGAAGTTGTGACAGCATCACCCTAACTTCTGTTTGATAATAGACTGTAGGGGGCAAGAATGAGGCAGGGATACCAGTTTGGCTATTGCAGCCATCTTGGCTAAAGAGCAAGGTGGTAGCAGTGGTAATGTGAGGTGGATGTGTTTTGGGATAAAGAAGACAGGATTTGTTTATGGGTTGAACGTGGTATATAAGAAAGGGAGGAGTTAAGGATGATTGCAGCTTTTTGAGTAGAGCAACTAGAAGTACGAGATTGCCATCTTCTGAGGTAGCAGGTGAAGCAGGGAGCAGGTTTGGCTGGTCTGGGGCAGTGGTGGCGAACCTGTGGCACCAGTGCTGTAGTGGCACACAGAGCCCTCTCTGTTGGCACACAACCCCAACATTGCCCCAGCAGCTGAGCACTGGATAAGGGCACACAAAAGCATGCCAAATGCAAACTTGTATCTTTTAATAAAAAGCTGTTTGTATCATAGAAAGCTCTGTTATTATGTTTTTCTTTTTGAGACAGAGTCTCACTATGCAGTTCAGGCTGGCCCTGAGCTCACTTTGTAGCCCAGGCTAGTCTCAAACTTAAAACGGATCCTCCTGAGTGCTGGGATTATAGGCGTGGATGTTGATATATGAGTTGTTTTTTTTTTTTTTTTCTCGACTAAAATCTCAGTATTCAGGTTTAATTGCTATGTTGGCACTTTGTGATAAATAAGTGGGTTTTGTAGGCATTTGTTGACTAAAAGATTCACCATCGCTGGCATATGATTTATTTTTTTTTGAAACTGGCTGTACCTGTGTAGTTCAGGGTGGCCTTGAATTCACTATGTAGCTGGGCTGGCCTTGAACTCCTGACAGTCCTCCTGCTTCAGCCTCCCGGGTGCTGGGATTATAGGTGTGTGTACCATCCCATCGTGCACTGCTGAGTGTGTGAACTTCTGATGGTAACTTAGTTTTGCAGCTTTCATTTCTTCACCTTTAACTTCTAAAGCTAAGATATTACTTTCGTAAATGACCCTTCATCAACAAAAATTTAGTGACCTAGCTGGGTGTGGTGGCACATGCCTGTAATCCCAGTACTTGGGAGGGCAAGGCAGCAGGATCACTGTGAGTTCAAGGCCAGCCTGTGCTATATAGTGAAACCCAGTCTCAACAAAAACAAAACAAAATAAAAAATTAGTGGCCTTTTAAAAATAGCTTTATTGGCCAGGCTTAATAGCTTAGCTGCTCAGTGCCTGCCTGGCAAGCAAGAGGTCCTGAGTTCAATGCTTGGTACCCATAAAAATAAAATAAAAATAGCTTTATTGAAGTATAGTATACTTTTACATTCAATAAAATGTACCCAATTTTATTATATAATTTGAGTTTTTAACAAATGTATATACCCATATGAATCCTATCACAATTAATGTTTCTGCGCACCCCCCAACCTTCCTTCACGTCCCACTTAGCGGAATCTGGGAGTGGTGCAGCTCAGTGATTCTGGCTCATAGTCTCTCACAAGGTTGCAGTCAAGCTGTGGGCTGAGGCTGCAGTCTCTGAAGACGTGATTAAGAGCCAGCAGGCCTACTTCCAAGTCCACTACCAGTTCCTAAGTGTGTGTCCTCTATAGAGAGAAAAAGAATGAAGTTACCATGGTTTTCATGATCTGTTTTCTGAGTTGCTTGCATCTTCTGTTCATTAGAAGCTGTTTGCTAAGTTTAGCCCATACTTAGCAGGCAGGGGTACTACACATGGGTGTGAATACCAGGACACATCATTGGGGCCATTTTAGGGGCCAGCTACTATAATATTTAAATTTAGTGAATTTAGAAAAACTTAGAATATTAACAGAGAGGAAATAAAAAGCTCCATATTTTATTTGAAAAAGGGTTTTTATGGCTTAAGAAAATGAGTTCATGGAAATTAGACCATTTTACTCATTTTGCTTATGTGGTTACAGGAATA